AATACACTTCATCAGTGTCAAATAAATTTCCTCTATAATAACATTTTCCAGGATAGACTAAGTTTAAAAAGAAATTTTAATTATACTTTCTTTTTAATATCAATATTTATCAACTTTCTTACGCGGATGACTAAAGTAGCCAACATCATAAGCCATAAATGAAGCTGGCATGAAACCTGCAAAAATTATTCCACAGAAAAACAACCTCATCTTTCAACTAAAACTCAAACTAATTTTATTTATGGCACACAATGACAGAAAACAATATAGAAATCTGGTCTATATGTATATGAATAAACATTTCGTTATCATAAATAATATATTCATAAAGATAATGGCTACCTGATTGTATGAATTGTTATTATTTGAATTTAGAAATTATATTAATGAGTATTATATTTAAAAAAGATTTAATTATTCTTTGTAAATAAATGTATTAAGCGAGAAAAAAGTGTATATTTACTTTAAAGACCTTTTAGATACCCTATGCACATATATTTAAATTAAAAGCAAATTGTTCATATGACTTCTATATAAACATTTTCAATTTAAGAAACTACCAATAAAAAAACATTTATTGAAATAACAGCGGAATTGGAAGTTAGGTACATTAAAATTAAAGACCTATGACAATTATACAATTTCTTTAGGAAATGAATTGGAAATTGGAAACCTCGAGACCGAGCCACGCTCAAGTTGAAATGTAGACACACCAGAACAACGTAGTGTACATATTGGGCAATTCGAGTTTCAAAGGAAATTTAAATGTCAAAGCACTTGTGTATATTAAACTGCATGGACGTCTCCGAACATTCTTTCTTTCTTCTTCTTAACCTGGCGGGCATCCTAAATATATACCTTCTAAAACTTATCTGTTTAATAAACCGCGTAGTTTTGTTTTAACACATAGAGCTTTATATGGCCACTAAAATCAGGTATCTATTTTTCCTTTAAGTTGTGAACAACTTGTTATGTTTTAACATTTTAAGTAAGAACTTTTTGTTTGGTATTAATTAAAGTGGAAAATAGTTTTTAAGAAAGAGTAGAAATTATAAAAATATTTTCTATTAATTTCTTTGGTTCGTTAAATTTAAATTATATATAGTTGTAATTTATTTTATTTTTTTTTTTGCCTAAACGTCCAGTTATCGTAAACAACCAGAGCTTTGTCACCGTCATGCCAACACAACCAAATGCCATGCCCACAGTATATCGCTAAATAGCAATACCAGGACTGAGTGATGGCTAGTCATCGGCAAACCTACTATACAGCTCTGTATAGTAGACAGAGCCCTACAGCTCTGTCTCGATAGCTTAATTCGCCTTGTGATAATCAATAGAGTAATTAAATTAATAAAAATAAAAATAATCAAATCAATAGAATAATTAAGTCAATAAAATAAATTTAAAAAAGATATTAAAATAACCAAGTAAATACATAAATTGTTGAGTTAATAATTTTAGTGTATGTCCATGGGAATAATCAAAGGTTCTTCGAGAAGTACATGTCCTTTGAAGTTTCCATTTACGTGTTTCGTCTGGGAACTACCCAGATACATCAGAGTGGAGTAAAAACAATCAAAAACAACAGTCGTTAGTTGTGTGTCTTTACACGTGTTTCGACAAATTAGCCTTAATTTATTAGTTAATTTTTATAAATGTTATTGAAATATACCCAAGTTTTATTTAATAATTCTAAAAAAGATACATTTTAGGCATAAATAACTATATAGAGTAAACAAATAGGATTCTCTTTCATAATAAGCTTCATCACATTTTATATACCATTCTTTTATTCAATATCATAAACCGGGCTATTGCCTTTCTTTATACTTTCTATATCATAAAAGAAATTCCTTATTCTCTTTTTACAAAGTAATCTTCTTTTTAGTGAAATCACTACCTCGTAACCTAAACTTTCTGTGTGAAAAATTTAAAGGATTTTGAAATCGTAAACATAAAAATCAAGCAAAAAGTACATATTCTGTGAACAGGAAGAAGAATATATTGTATAAGATAAAATTTCTTTAATCCAAGAAAGGTAACTTTTGAAAATAATATGACAGTTTTAGTGAAAATAGCTAAAAAAATAAATGCTTCTGCTAGTGTTATTAAATATTGCCAATTTATTTCTTATTTCACAACCTTTACAAGTGTTCTTAAAGGTTTAAAATGATGACTTCAATGTTTAAAATAAATGCAGTAGTCAAACTCAAATTGAATGGCATCCACAAATCCTTGGCCAAACGTTACCATGACTAGAACACTTAAGGCTTGAGTTTGTATTAAAAAAGCAATTAAAGTCATTCGTTTCTTATACAAGGTTAAAGGTGCAATACGCTTTTAGTTTCCTCTTTCTTATGTCCTATCCAATCCTCAGATTTTTATCCTTTAAAATATTTTCGATTTCGTTTTACGCAAGTTGAAAGTATCAATTACCTGAAGTGGATTTTAAGGTTTCAGCTTTCCTTTTCTCTATTGTGCTTGAGTAGTCTTTATTTTTCTGCTTTCCCCATCTCTGCAGCAGAAAAGTATGCAACAATTTTTTACGTATAAAAGTGTTTGCTTCTTATTAAAGTGCTTTAACCTTTTGCTTAAGTTTCTGTTTTCTTCTGTTTTTTGAACTTCACTTAATTGCTTTCTGCAGGAAAATGGGAAATTTAGTTCACTTTTTAAGCACTTCCGGTCGTAATCAAGTGCCTTAGTATTTGTAGTAATTTGTCAAAATTAGTGAAATTTTGTTATGTGACTGTACATAAATATTTTGACGTATTTAAATATTTCAAACCAAAACAAAAATAATTTATTTTTCACGCTAATGAAGTATATATAATACATATAATATGAAATAACAAATTACTAAGAAATAATATTTCAATGCATTTTTTTTAATTATTTATTGAAAACTTCATCATGTAATTTTTTTGATTTAGTGAAAGATATATTCACTTTGATTACTGATTTCACACTATATCGATTTGATTACTTTTTTGTACCAAAAATATTATATACCTGTATAAACTAAATTAAATGTTTATTTTATTGACTTGACTGCAATGTAGCGTCAATCACACTTTTATTACGTTTGCTAATTTATCTTTCTTTGTACTCATACTATGCTAAGATACTTTTTCTCACTAACATTTTATTTGAAATTTTTTTCTAAGTTCTGCTTTGATTATATCGAGACAAAGTGACTTTTATTGCTTACGAATGATTGGTAAATTACGACTTTTACGCTACGTGCAAGTTTCATTTTAAAATGTAAATTCTAAATGAAATTACGTTTCATTACAATTTATATGACAAAAGGGAAAGCGTTCGGGGATAGGATTCTCACCTTAAAGAATAAGTTTATTTCTATCCTTAAGTAATGAAGTAAAGAAATAGCTTCTATAACATATGAGTATTTTCGAGTAGTGAAAGCCTTCATAGAAAAGGTTTAAAGAAAGTCTTAGTGATAAAATATATAAAATGTAATTTGGCAGAATTAAAGCAACAATCATATCAGTAAATGTTCAACCTGAAAAAGCTTATAGAGAAAAAAAAAACTATGACTCCTACGTCACCTTTTTGTGTTATAAAAAACACACTAGAAAAATTTAGGTTAGGATAGGTTGAGAGTTTAGTATATGGTAAGGTATAAGGAATCGGGAATATGGTATACAGTAAAGTATAAGGTATTTGTATCAGAAATATACGAAAAAGATAAAAAATAAGGAGAAGAACCCTGATTCGGAAATATCTATTGGCAATTGCAATGCTCTCAAAGTTGATAGATGAGTGCTTCACACTTACTGTTTCATCACCGTATATTATTCTTGTGAAACCATTTGCTCTTCCAGATAAAAAGCAAATGTATCACGAGATATTATTATCTCTTCAAAATATTGAATTCAGTTTAACTGTACTCCCGGATAAAGACATAGAAAGTGATTAATGGATTCTATTTCTTCTTCATTGTGATAACTGCTGCACAATCCACTTGGCAGAACACACCACCATTGCAACATTAGCGTAATGTCACAGTGCTTTATTTGTACTTCAGTAAGTACACAAATGACAAGTTTGGTAAAGCCTAGAAGGTTTTTCATCTTTATAGATGGTAACTGCGCTTTCACTATATCTGTTTATAAGGATACCTATTGCATATTCTGACCCCCTGGTTTCTTTGGTAAGGATGGGAGCAAGAATTCTGGTTCAAAATTTCAAAGCATTTAAAGCATTCAAAACATTTAATTTAATACAAAATTATATGGTGTCTATAATTGTCTGCTTTTTAGAAGAATAGCCTAAAATAACAGTTTTATTAACAGATATAAACTTACGCTTAGACGTTTGTACTCATTGTTTTATTGTATATTTCTTAAATTTAACAAAATACTTTTAGTTTCATTTTTGAGCCAAGATATAAGCTTTATATAGCTTTAATAATTTTCCAAATGGTTACCATATATACTTTTTTATAGTAAGTCATCCTATAGACTTGCTAAGACGAAATCTCTCCATTATATCTCACCATTGAATAACGCTCACACACTCAAATGATATTTTTTTAACAATAGATGTAATATAAACGTTTTTGATCTATCAAATACACATTTTCAAAGACGTTTCAGTTATATTTTTCAAAAAGTAAACAACGATGATATAAATGATAATATTAAGGGAGCATAGATGTCCCTTTAAAGGAACTAAAATAAATATTGAAAAATTTTGATCATTACTTTGTAATTACATCTTATATAATCGAATTTAACTAATGTTTTTTTTAATTTGGAAAAAGTTTTTGTAAAAAGAACATATATAAAGCATTAAGTTACTTAATAATTTATATCGTTCTTGTAAAATTCTATTTTAGTTCAAATCTAAAATATAGGCAATTATATCCAAACACTAAAAACCAATAACATTTAAAAATATATATAAAGAATATATCATTTATAAGAATTAATCGAATTGCATTTCTAATATTGCATGGGAAATGAAAAATCATTAAATATTTAGAGTGCGTTTCGTTTATTATCCAATGCGATAAATTGTGTCATCAGTTCCCTTAAGAAATATTATATCATCTTCCTTCTCTTCTCCGCAACCACACTCAGCTTTTTCGTTAAGTAATACATCATTGTTGATTTCAGATAATTTCGTTTCTACCGACATATTTTCTTCGTCACTACTAGTTTCAACTTCCTCAGTAATGACAGTGGTGTGATCAAGATTCTTACAATGCTGAATTACACCAGCAGCTTTGCCAATCTTCATGTCTTTTAACATGTCATCGATTTCCTTTAGTGCTGCAAAAAACTCCTTTTTAAATGGGGGTATATGTGACACATCCATTTTTGCATTCAAAATCCAATGTAATTCCGTCATAGCAGATATAAAGTTTTTATGATTGTTTGCAATCAGATTTTTTAGGTTATATAATTTTTGCAATACAATTGGAAGAAGTTTTGCGTCCGCATATTCTTCACTGATTCGATAGCTAAATGAATAGAATTCTGAACCCAAATGATCGATTTTTTTTCCAATAACGTTTAAACGATCTACTGTTGGTGCAGTGAGAGTGCGACAAAGCCATTTTAAAAAATCTTCATTCTGAAGTAAAGAGACTGCTATTTCGCTTTCTTTGTCAACAATGGTATGTAAACCCTCTATATTTTCCATATTTTTATAACAGGAATCAATAACGTGAAAATTAAGTTTATTTTCTGCGCTTTGTATGCATTCATCTATCTCATCTAACAATTTTAGGTTTGGTGTGAATATGTCAATGCCTTCATTTATGATTGGTATTGCAGAGATTAGTGATGATTCCAATCGATCATTTAGTTTCTCGAAAACTATACCTTCAAGCTGTATTTTGTCCTCTTCGCAATGAAGTTTTTTCATTATAAAATTTAAAGCAGTGTGAAGTAGTGCCATATTGAATTTAGTAATGTCTGGTGTTCCCAAAGCAAGTTGGACTAACTGCCCAATTGTCATTTGAATAGGAGGCATTTTAATTGTATGCAAAATTTTAAGTAATTCCCCAAATAGTTTAAATTTAAAAAAATATACCACAATCGAAAATAGATTAGTTTTTTTTTAATAAATCATTTAGAATTAGTTGTTTTTTTTTTTTAAATATGACAAATATATCTCAGAATTTTAGTGGATCAAATTAATTTTTAAATTAGTTTTGGTATTTTTCATATAACTTCTTTACCTGAGAGTAAATCATATTAAGAAAGTAGTGATAAATTTACAAGAAATCTCATTTATATTAAAGCTAGTTAAGGTCTATAAAGTGTACGCGCATACCTAACCATTCATTTCGAAAACTAAGAGCAAAGCCATGGAGTCAAGAAAAAAAATGGATCTGTTTTATTTTAATAGGTTATATTTGTTATAAAAATTGCGAGTGCAAGTTATTATAATAACGATAGCATAATATTTGAAGCCTGTAGTCTCACGATATGGTTGGCGTTATAAGAATTAAGTTTAATATTAAAATTATAGCTTATGGCATTAAAATATCGGTGGCGCACAGTGTGCCGAAACAGAAATTAGCAGATCAAAATTCGATATTTTTTGAACGAGTACAGATATTGGATTAAAATCAGATTTTCCTTAAATACAGTTTTTGAGATGGCTTTTTTTTCTTTTCTTTTTAAATTAGTGGTGTGAATACACCCAACAGCCGGGTACTGCGGCCAAAAGAGTCCTATTGTAACAAATTTACTTTTAATTACACAAAGCCCTTAATTTCTACTGTTTACAGAAATTCCACACAATACAAGTTTCTTCTGTTCGTTGTTAAAGCTTCGAGGCATAATCTGAATTCTGGATTAACAAATAACATAATTGAAGTTTATATAGGTGATTTTTCAGACTATAATGACCCATGATAAAACCCGTTAGCAATCTTAAATTACTTTTAGTAAGAGTATGGTGTAATCAGTGCATTGCTTTATCTGAGTCTAGGGAAATCTTCTCAATGCACCAGACGCAAATGATTCTACCTCTCCCTGATTATTTCTTTTATATTGGCCCAGTTCAAACCATAAAAAGATTAAGTGACTATAATAGCAGTTCTGTTTAGCTCATCAGCTCGCTTATTACCTAAAACCCTCAGAACTCAACAAAGACTCACCTTATTCTGAAGTGCAAATACCTGTAGGAGCTCATAATACTCGAGGACCTGTTTCAACTTGAGTGTTCAAGAAGTCAGAGTTTTTAGAGCAGCCTGACTGTCAGAGTAAATAACAATTCTGTACTTTTTCAGAAAATACTGAATTTTGATCGTATTATTTTCATTTTGGCGCTCTGTGCGCCTTTTGATTTCATCTCTTTTAATTTTTTTAAACTGATTTATTCATTTACTTGAACTCCCTAGCATATTTTTTTTACATCGGCAATCTACTCCAAATACCTTTATTAGAGTAGTAATTTTAATTTCACCAAGCAGAAGTTAGATATATATAATATATAGATATACATATATTATACATATATATAATATATATATATATATTATATATACATATATATATTCAATGTTTTTGATAAAAAATTATCACAGAACACTTAAAAGTATAATTACTTAAGAAACTGATATCATCTCACCAATGTTATTAATTTACAAAGAAAAAATTGTGGTGATATTTTTTAGTATATTGTTTTAAACAAAAATTGACAGATACTTTTAATCCAGAATGTAGTTAGAACATTAGTGTTTCAACAATAAATAACTCATTGCTTTTATACAATTATCTTGCTGTGCTTTTCATTCTCAAAATGATTTGAATAAGATTTTATTTTGGATTGTGTAAGGTTATTTAAAATCGAGATGAAATAATAAGACGTTCAGTTATATTAACGATGACTAGACATGCAACTCAACCCACACATTCAAGCTAATCTATAGAAATCGAAGCTATTGTATCTATTTATCGATAGATACGCATTAGACTGAGCAGCTGTATGCATAATTTTGTTACGAAGGTCGTTCAATAGTCTGCGTGACAGAATTCCTAAAGGGGTCCAAATCCCAACAACCAGATTGGATAAATTTGGTTGGTAGTAATAGAGCATCCATTCGCTTAGCGTGGGTCTCATTGGGTGTCAATTTTGAAATATGGCTCAACTCATAGTCCAACAATGAATTGAATACACTAATTTATCATATTCATAAGGCATTTCATGGTTAAACTCACATTGGCAAACCATAGGCACTTTAACATTCATTTTGTTGCCCTTTTCACTTAATTTTGTTTTTGTATTCTTTGCAAATATTTGTTTAGGATTAAGTGCGGGGGTAGTTGAATTTTCATGCTTATAATTTAAGTTTTATAATAAATAATTTTATTTAAATTTAGTTATGTTTAGAAAATCCTTTTACAATAATTTATAGCACAGGAGTTGAATATTTACTCTTTTAGGTAACAGCAAGGACTTTTAATATCCTTTTGTGGTATGAGTTTTTTTTTTGTTTGATTTATGTGAACTGCTAACAATTTCAGTGGTTGCGGTTATACTGTTGTGTTTCGTTATTTTCGCATAGAGTTTCTGTAATTTGTCTTCATCCAATAAAATAGTTCGGACATTTCCAAAGGTTTTTTGAGAAAATTGTTTGCTACTCGCATGCCAGGAACGACGTAGGGAACGTCATCCATTCACTGTAGTTTATATTTTGGCAAATAAAATTATTGGTTTTCGTTAGCTAAGCTAACATGTTACGACCCTTGTGATTTGAAGTCGAATTTAAAATAAATAAACTTGTAAATTTTATTTGATTTTCAACTATAAAAATAACGATAAGTTTGAAATTCTAAGCTTCTTTAAATTTTATTTCAGGTGATTGCTAAATTTTTTGTCAATATTACTGGAAAAGAAAGATGTTGTTGACTTTAATCTCTTGGATTTAATAGTAAGTGTACCTGTACACAGTTTTTGACTTCAACCTTTTAGATTCAAAATTACAAGTACATATTATATATAATTATTTTTGATCAAAATACTTAAACACCATTTTCTTCTATTTAACGGTTTGTAGTTTGAGCTGCCTTTAGTTTTCCATATCTGTAACATATCCAGAAATCAATCTTGAACTTCCAGATTCTATTTAGGAAAAGTGTGATTATTATTTATTTCTTCAAATAGGTGTAAATGTCACGTTAGCCTTACATTTAGCTATATAAGATTAGTTCTCAGTTGGTGTGACCGATGATTATAAAAATAAATATAAAGTAACATTATGAATCCAACTTGACAAGATTGTTTCTTTATATATTTTTAAATTTCAATTAATAGTAGTAGTAATCAATTAGTAACTTAAAAGAGGCAAGTGATGAAGAAAATTGAGATATGAATCAAAAATATGAATCAAAAAATTGTAATATGAATCAAAAAATAATTTCACACAAAAAGGATGTAGTCACTTCAATAGGTAACCTTTTTATCGCCTTACCGTATATATTGATATAAGTATATATTTTAGAAAAATATTTAAAAATCCGTTATATATATAGTTTATAAACTAAATAATCCTCCTGTTATATATATTTAAGCTATTTACACTACACTATTAAATTTTTTACATTTATTTTAGTGTTATTTTTTAAGTCTCTAAATATTTTTAGCCACAATAAATTTAAGGTGAACCCATGGAACGATATTTAAAATCCAACCGCTAAGTTATCATTTTGGTATTTATTTATTTTTTTATTATTTACACAACAGTTTTTATTTGTATTCCGTAATTTTACTTGTGTTTGCATTGTGAGCCGTTTTCAGTTTTGTTTGGTTGGCCTTATTGGCAACATTACAAATGCTTGAATTCTACGAAAAATGCACTCGTTTTCATTTTCCAACTGACCTAGTTCAAAAAAAAAGAAGAAAAAACCTTAAAATACAAAATGATCAAAAACATGTTCCAGATTTCACTTTTGCACCCATAAGTACAAGGATTTTCAATTTTTTAAGTACTTGCAGAAGTTTGTTTTGCCACTCATACACAAATTTTGTATCCTGACTTCAGGACTCTTGGACTATCTCCTGCAATAATGCAACATTGTCTGTGTGTACATCATTCGATTGTGTCTGTTTCGAGTTGTGTTCGTGTCTATATTTATGGCTAAGAGTCACGTGGTTTAAACTTTAAACTTCTGACCGACATTTTAATTAAGTTTTCACTTCAGTTTGCTCTAAGAGTGAGTAAGAATATCTGTGCAAAATATTTCATAAATTCATTTTTAATACCACAATTTGGTAAATTGTGATGAAAAGTTTCCCAGTTCAAATACTAAAGCACCATGAACGTAATTTCAATCTTTTGAATTGCATTGAAATCGTTTGAAAATTGAGATGTTTTCTAAAACTTCTATTAAAAAGGATATTAAACGACTTTATTTACTTCAATTGCTTTTTAAACTAAATTAAATAAATTTTAAATATCATGCAGACTTGCTCTTCTTAAGAGTTGCCAAACTAATGGTTGTTTTTTCATACAACCTACTCTGCACATCTAAAATTTAATAGTATTTTGTTAGATATTTTATTAATTTAAAATTTTTCAGATGCAAGTGTTTCGAAATCAATGCAAAGATTTCAATATTGATATATTGCCATAAAAAAAGAGATTCGACATATATATAACTATTTAGATGCATGCGAACTTAAAATGATAATACAAGACAGAAATATTGTTGTGTTGAAATTTTTTTTATATTGTAATCTATTAGATAATTTCACGGCATTTATATTTTGAATATGATATCCGACATATGTCTGCCGCGGCTACAAGTTAC